TTCACATCTTTGCATCCAGCCAAGTGACCCTGGGCACAGTGACAACTCATGCTCATATCACACACAGTGACAAGGCTTGCAGTTGTAGCAGGGCTAGGATGCAGTCAAGGCCTCAGCTCAGTCAAAAGGCAGGTCTACAAATTCTGCAAAAGTTTTTATCCCACTCCGAGGCTTGCCTTACTGGTAGCATCATGGCAGCATTGCTGTTTGTAGATCAGCTTTGCACTGAGGAATGAACCAATGACAGAGGTGGCAGTTTGTGGCTGTCTCAAACAAGATCAAATAGTTTTTATTTTCTGTCCTACCTGCCCCAATTTTCCCCTTCCTTTCCAAGTGGCCTTGGCCCTGATTCAAACCACTAGTATTGCTGTTGTGATTCTGTGCCACCTCAGTCGCCAGGTTCACACGCTTTCTGCCAATATTGGATCTCCTACTGCCACCATCAGAGACAGCATACTGGGTGAGACAGACCACTGGTCTGACTTACTATTGCATTCCTTATATTCAGTGGTGGAAGCTGGGGAACGGAGAATTTCTTTCATCTCAGTTGCTTTCAGTCTATGGAGATTTTTGTTGCCATTTTGGCCAAAAGCATTTACTTTTTCCCCAAAATGTCATCTTTCCTTGTTGAGAAATTGAATGTACCCAACCCAAGAGACATCAGCTGAAAAACTGAGTTTTAGAGGAGTTAAGAGGTCACCACATTGCTCACAGGTGGTACAATTTAGATGTCCTCTGCACCCTGGACACTATAAGCTGCTATAGGCTATTGGCCGTGTTCTCCCCTCAGCCAGTATCCTTCACAATATGCCTCACCAACTCACCCAGGTTCCCAAGCAGGAACCTCAGTTCAGAGAAGGGGAATGGAAGTCAGACAAGCTACATCCCTTAGGATTACTTCAGATCTGAAATATTTCAGATTTACTTGAGAGTGCTTTGATTTTTCACCCTAAACTACAGAATCATTCCTGCAGAAACACCCTGTATACTTCCCTTCTACTCCTTTCACTGCAGTGCATTTTCTGCCAGAAGCAAAGGACCACTACCTAATCTGGCTTACCCCCTTGAGTAACCCATTCCCTGTATTTGAGGAACTATACTGATGGCCTTTGTCATATCTCCAAGTGGTACTTTGCATTCCATCCTGATGCTTTGCTAAGCAGCAAACCAAGGGCAAGGACTCACTTCTCCATATTGCCATCCAGATAGAAGGATACAAGATGCTTAAGTAGACATAGGGGGTGGTATGGGTGGCTAGAGTTTGCCTGCATGAGAAGACTTTGTCTTAGTTTTAATGGGTAGTGCTTGACTGCTTGAACTTGGAGTGCAGCAGAGCTATGTGTTGTTCCCCAGTATATGTACTCCTGCATGGTCAGAGAAATAGTCTCTACACATGTAAGAGTCTGTCATGCTCATCTGTTTTTTGTGCTGAAGGCTGCCATGGCGATTGTTGTTCATGGTTACTGTTGGGGTGTCTTGTTTTTTCTCCTCATCCGTCATCCCAGGAAAAGGAAACTCAGTCTGCTGTATCTTGAGTCTTCTCTTGACTCATGAAGGCTATTCAGCAGGTTCATGACCTTCACTCCTTCTTCCTCACCAGCCTGTCTTACCTGAGTAGTCATTCTACTCTCACGTCTCAGCTCTGTTTTTCTTGGCTTATCTAGGGTCTCTCCTCTGGCAGATATGCCAGGAGGCTCAATGCAAGATTCACAACCTGGCTGCTTGACTGGTTCTTGAGAAGCAGTCCTAAAACTGACAGAGTGTCCTAAACACTTGCAGGGTTAAATAATTGTGGTTTTGGGAGCCTTGTGGTGAGTCAGTGGAAAAAACTGGCAGCTCTAGGAAGGCTAAGACTGACTCATAGCCCAAGAAGAGCCAGGAGAGCTCCAAATCCAGATGCAGTTTAGGTAGGGGAATGGAAGAGAAGGCATTTGCATGCAATTGTGTCCTACTGCTCTAACAATGCGACCCCACCCTGTAGCGGAGAAAGATGTCTCACACTTAACAAATGGAAAGAGTATCCTGTCAGTCATCACTGCTCTGGCAGCTTCTCTGTCTAATGGGAGGAAAAGTCCGTGCTGTACTGTCAGACACAGAGACGACTCTATTTCAATGCTGCTCATTCACCCACTGCTCTTTTAGGATTGTTCTCTAGTTTTTTATTTAAAAGGCAGGGAGAGATGAAGGAAGGGGAAAGCAAATGAGTAGAGAGCGAGGCTTGTGCTTTAACTCACAAAGAATCAAAACTAAGCTATGAGCACATATCCCCGGGGGAGTTTGCATTTGATAGCATGTGTATTCAGGAAGAGGTGCTGACATTCTCAGGAAGTAGGTGTACTGAAAGCACCTGAACTAACAGTGATCTCAAGCACTGTGAGAATGGGGCAGAAAAAGCAAAGGGAATAAAGGATTTGGGGTTTTTTCTTAGCGTATTGGTCAAAGTTACGGGTGTGGGTTTTGGTTTTTTTTTTTTTTTTTTTTTTTTTCTTTAACATTGAAAAGTAACATTTATCTCTCATTTTAATTTCTGAATGCAAAGAGAAGATGCATTTAAAAGGACCGTTCTAGTCCTTTAGGGTGCCATAAAAGTAGATTTTTAGTCTTTCAAGTACAGGGCTTTTTTGAAGATTCTCAAAAATAATCAGCAAAAAACCTGCTGAATTAGTTTTTAAAGACGCTGTGGGAAAATATGTCCATCTAAGAAACAAGAAACTTTAGCCACTGTTCAGTAAAGGCAAATTTCAGAGCAGGCAAATTTGACACAATTTGGTGTATGCATACCAATTCACTGTGGTGGCAAGAGCACTCATTACTGTTTGTGTAAGAACCAAGGTAATTAGAAAAAAAGATGGCAAGCAGTCAGAGAGATGGGAAAATTTGACTCAGAGGTCCTATTCAAGGCACCTGCTGCAGAGATATACCTTAGTCATGGCAACAGAATAGTTTCTCAGCTCATGGTACAGTGGCAATATCCCTATCAGCTGCCATCCTCCAGTCTGAAACCCTCATTCCTTTTGCAGTCAATGGAAAGAAGGAGTTTAATGCTCAGGTCAGGTGTGTTCATGTGGTTTATGTTCATGCGTGCATATAGCACTGAGAACCTGGATTTTAGCAATGCTGAACTCATAAATGACTAGTCAGAGAGGAACCCCTAAGAAGGCTGTGCGTTCTCCAAGATCATCACTAGAGGAGGTACTGTGCCAAGAGAGGGCACAGTGACCAGGCTGTCCAGGCAAATCAAGCCCTAGAGCATGAGGAGTTTCCTAGGACACACCAAAGCAGACAAGGAAGCCCCGCTCATGTTCAGTAAGCCAGGGCTAAACAACTCCAGATAGTTCTACCAGGTGAAGGAAACCTCAGAGCAGACAAGTTCTTGCTGAGGAGGTAGGACCAGTCACCAAACCTAATTTGTCCTTCTAAGGAGTGGCCTCGTTTGTGTGGGAGGAATGACCTAACAGAGCTGGATCCTTGAGATCCTGAACTCAAGGGATTCCTCCCGGTCATCAGCTAATGCTGAACCGGACAGTGGGCCACTGGTGGAGAAGCCTGCCTGGCTGCTGTGGTTTAGGAAACTGTATCCAAAGCAGTGCAAGGAATAGTTGCAGCACTTTACAGGAATACACTCCCACACATGGCCACAATGAGAGGAAAGACAGAAGTGGAGAAGGTGGAGTCATTGAGTAAAAAACTCCACATTTATGGGACTGTACAAAGCATTTTGTTACAGTTTGCATGAAAGACATCATAAAGTATAATTGTGTTGTTCCATGACAATGTTACCACACCCTGTACAAATGGTGACAGCATCAAACCTTACCTGAGTCAACTGGACCAAAATAACTTGACAGCCAACATGAATCACATCTTGATACTGCTCTTCAGTACCGGCACTACCAAGAGAAAGAGCAACACAGCCCTGTGAAACTTTCTAGGAAGCAGTCTTTCACTGGCCACAGAGTGGACCCAGTAAACTCTTCTTCCTGATTTCTGTGGCTATAGTACATGATTATTAATGAACGAAGGAGGGGAAATACGCTCACTTTGTGTGAATTGTCTGTGCTCACTCTCACTGCTTAGATTTGTTTCTTGTATTTTGCATTTTCAGGGGAGAAGTCAGCAGCCTTGACAAACAGTGTCATGAGAGCAATCTGAAGCATATTCCCCTCCCTTTCCAATCACATGTTCATCAGTGACAGGGAATCTTACAAAAAGTAAAAGCTCGCAGAGTACAGAGGGGAAAAAAAGAAAAAAAAAGGCAACAAAACAAACCAAAGAGGAATTTGCATTACAAGAGAATCTTACTGTAGTAATAAAGTGATCTGCATGCCTCAAGTTTTAAAAGGGAAAGAGGCAATTATCACTGCAAACCTAAGCACCTTCCTCTGCCCCAGAACACCTCAGTGGTGTTTCTGTTCTGGTTAGTCTCCTCTTCACATAGTGGAGTGGGACACTGAGTAGGGGTAGCCCCCCAGCCTACTCCCCACTGTTGCTCAAAACCTTGTGACCCCAGGAACACACAGTCCTCCGCTCCACACCACCTGCCCGTGTTCCAGACTGGCTGTGGGAGGCTGTGCTGTGAAAGGGAAAGGGCAAACAGGAGGATAAAATCTTCTCCTGACCTCTGTGAATCCTGTGAGCAAAATCTCCTCTTCCTGAAGTGTAGGCCTGGAGTATGTAATTTTTACTTTACATAACCACACACCAATTTAAGCAACCTGTGTATATAGTCAGGCTTTTTTTAAAATTCCCCCAAGCTAACTACCCCTGCTCTACATCTCCTCCCAGACTGGTTCCTTTACCTCCAGGCTTGCTTCAACCTCTTGAGCAACTCCCTTGCAGATTTTAAAAAAGGTTTTAGCGATGTTTTTTGGTGACTACATGCTTCCAGAGTGGATTTAAGATCAACCTGTTTTCTCACATGTAAATAAAGCTTATAGCAATGCTATTCTTCAATTCAGCCCTTCCTTTCACCTCCTCCCTCTGTTCTTGTTCTCCTCCAGAACTCTCGCTGTCGGTGAGACCACCTTGAAGGGACCCAAGATGTTGGTGCTACTGGCTGGTATCTTTGTGGTTCACATCGCTACTGTCATCATGCTCTTTGTCTCCACCATTGCCAACGTAAGTAGACACCGCCCTGGATGAGACATGGCTGTCGCCTTCCGCAGCAGTAGCCAGCCCTTTATACGGCTGACAGGGGGACCGGCGGGTGGGTGCTCAAGTCTATAGGTGAGGGACACCCGCTCGCGGCCGTGGGTAAATCTGAAGCACTGATGGGTGTGCTGAGGGAGCAGAAAGGCAACCGGGGTGGGAGAGGAGACACCCTCTGCCTGCTGCCCGCCCGCTCCCAAGTCCCAGAGCCGGCGGCACCTCAACACCTTCCATCCAAGAGAGCACCACGGCGAGCGGGGCAGATCAGCAGCTGACAGCTCCGAAGCGGAATTTACCATCCCATCTGGCGGGCCAGCTGTTGCACAACTGTGTGCCCCCCCCAACCCCCCCCCCCCCCCCCCCCCCCCCCCATGCCTGTTTCTTTTGGCGCCAGCAGGTCGCTGCCGGGAGCCGGGAGCCGGGGAGGTGGTGGTGGTGGTGCGGGGGGGGGGGCACCCCAATCCCAGCTCCCAGCGCTGCTCCCAATGCAAAGCCCGAACACAAGCCCCCCCTCGTTCCACACCCCCCCCACCCCCACCCCCTCCCCGACCGGCGGGGAAGCCCGGGGCGAGGGTGACCCCTGGCGGCAACCGGGGCTGGCGCGGCCGGGGTCTCCCCGCGCTCCCCCCGCATTGGGGCGGATTTCGGGGGGGGCCCCTCGCAGCTGCCGAGGCGGCTCGCTCGCCCCACCGCGCCCTCCTGCCGCCTCGCACGGGGAGAGGATGAGCTGAGCCATTTCCCGCCCCCCCCCCCCCCACCCCCCCCCCGAATCGTGGGAACAGGCTTCCCCCGTGTTGAGCCTGGCCCAAACGCCTCCTGGCTTTGGGGGCTGGTGTCATCTCCCACCCGCTTCGGCCCGTCGTCTGCTGCCACACGTTGACTTCTTCAGCTCTCTGTCTCACCGCACTTGGGCCTCTCGTGTTCCCCTCATGGTTTATTCTGACACCTGGCCAGAAGAGCAAGGAAGCACACTGCACCCCCTCTTCCGTCTTGACGCCACTCTTCCGTCCTGTTTCAGGTTTGGATGGTGGGTTCTTCCAGCTTAGGAACAGCCTCATCAGGACTCTGGCTACTGTGCAACAGGACCTGTGAGCAGCTGCCAGTCAGCAGCAGTGATGAGGGTGAGTGACATCTGCGTTCTCATTGCGGTGATGAATTGCAGGACCTCAGTGCACGACACCAAGGCTGAGACCCGACCTTCTGAAATCTATTCCCTGTGTGTTCACAGCTTCCCTCAAAGCCGTGCAAGCCTTTATGATCCTCTCGATCATCTTCTCTGTCATCGCGCTTGTCATGTTCATTGTCCAGCTGTTCACCCTGGAGAAAGGCAAACGTTTCTACATCACTGGAGCCATCATGCTGGTTTGCTGTAAGTATGCACGGCTTGTGGTGGCTCTGCATGCATCCCACTGCCTCTGCAAGCTCAAGTAGCTGCACGTGTCTGCCACACATGGCCATCAGGGGAGGTTGTCAGCCAGCTAAATGCTTCCAGTGGCCCATTTTTTTGATAAAGCACTGAAGAATTGGAAAATGTTGGGTTTGTTTTGGTTTGGGTTTTTTTTTGTTTTTTGTTTGTTTGGTTTTTGTTGTTTTTTTTGGGGTGGTGGTGGTGTGGTTTTGTTTGTTTGGTTGGGTTTTTTTGTTGTTGTTTTTTACTGTATATAATGAAAATATTTCCAGATTTTCATCAGAAAAACCCAGTGGGTTTTGCAAAATACCTTTGAAAGACAACAAAAAGGATTCAAGTATTTTGGGGGGCAGGGGAATAAACAACTAGACGGCTACTGCTCATGGGATTCAACACGAAGCACCAAACTGTCTCCAGATCTTATTACTGATTTCTTCCTAACAACGGATTATTCTATTCCCCATGGTATCCACTAAACAAGACTCAAGTGTCTTATGTCATCACGTCTGCAAGAGAAATCCTCCATAAACAAGCCCAATGGGCAGCAGCCCCTCTCTCATGTGGCACAAGACATGCATTAAAATCTCAGAGGATAGCAGTACTTCAGAAGTCCTGCAGCAATGCTGGTTTCTGTGCATTTTCCAACTCTCTCTCTTTTCTCCTTTCCTTCCTACAGGGATGTGCATTCTGATTGGAGTCTCCATCTACACAGCTCGATTCACAGGCAAGTTGCCCCAGTCCACAAGTTCTCACCACGGCTACTGCTTCATATTGGCCTGGATCTGCTTTTGCTTCAGTTTCATCATCGGCATCCTCTACCTTGTTCTTAGGAAAAAATAAGGCTGATAGGAGTCTAAGGGAGAGGGTTGGCTACTGGGAATGGGGAAGAATTGCTCTGCTGAGAGAACTGTTGGGCCAATAGACAGAAACAGCCACCATCATCACCACTGCCACCACCACAGAAAAATCACTAACAAAGCTAGAATCCTCAGAAACTCCTTCTCCAAAGAGAGGGAGAAACAGCTCCAACCGATCTAGCACTCCTGGGGCTGTTCCACCAGAAATCTGCAAGTGACCCGGACTGCTCTTCTCCTTTTCTGCAAAGTCATGTCATAACTTCACAAAGCTTCAAGCTCAGCAGCAATGATTGAACGGCACCACAAAAACAAGGGCTATATCTTTTTCCCTTTCTAGAGCCCTCCTCACCTTTCAGTGTGCCTTGTGGGCTGGGCAGTGAGGCTTATAACCCCCTTTTTTTGTCCATTGAAACAAATGGGATGGGCCTTTTGTTACATTTATATATATATATATACACATATATATATATATGCACATATGTGAAAGTTAAAGACATTAAATTGAGAAGCAACCCAATAGAAATCAGAATAAATTCGCATTAAAATATTTACAGAAATAAGGCAGCAAGGTTTTTTTGCTGTTCTATTTACTATTTGACATTCCCATGGTTGAATCAGATACAGGTAGGAAGGGCAAACATACAGGCATGGATGATGGAGAGAGAGAGAGAGAGAAAACGTGCTCGGGTGAAGATACACAGGGGTTCCTAATTACAGAGCATGCCGTTGCTCAATGATGCACATTAAAAGAGGGAACCATCTGGGTGTGTGTCTACACTGAAATTTTCTGTTCAGCTTCAGAACATGGTAACAGCACTGCAACATTGCAGATCTTTACTGAGACAATTCCTTATCTATAGACAGGGTTTTTTCCCACATTGTCACCCAGTACATGGTATTAATTGAAAGCCCCACCTTGTGATGCAGCTCATCTCAAAGGCAGATGATACTGGTTAGCAGAGGAAATGTATTCCCTAATGAGAGATCAGGAGAGATGAGGCAGGGCTTGTGAGTTCTGCTCCTTGCTGCACAACCTTAGGCCAGTCACTGAATCCGGTGCTTTTCCATCTGCCAAATTCTTCCATAAAGCTATACCTACCTCCTAGGGTTGCTGAGGGATTTTGAGTCCACTCTGTAATACAAGGTCCCCATGTGAAAGGCTGGCATGGGAAAGTAAGGCGTTGGTACTACTGCAACCCACAAATTTCTGTCAGTTTGAAGAATCTCAGTTACAAGTGGCATTTGTAAGGGACAAAAGGTCAAAACTTCCTGTGACTCCATCCACAGCTAAAAGGCAGAGAGTATAAAAAAACATGCAGGTGCAGATTGTGCATGGATGCTATTTACCTCTCTCTCTTTCTCTCTCTCTGTTACATTTTCTTCTTATGTAGACTTTATCAATTTGGTGGATATATTCTAGTACTGTATGTTGCTGTTTCATTAACAAATGTTATTTCATATATAGTAATTGTAAATATTTTGAAATGCATATTTTTAACTTTGAGGGTATAAAAATAAAATTTGATTCCCTTTATTATAAAGAGTTTTGCTTTTTTTTTTTTTTTTTTTTTTTTTTTTAATATTTTTTTTTTTTATTAGTGTTTCAGATATTTGTTAACAGAAGCATTTGCTGTTCTCACTGAATCAAAGCTCACCCCTTTGAGATGATGCAGAACTACCATGTTCTCTAGCTTGTCAGTATATGAGACTTCCTGTTCTGGAGGGGAGGAGGAAGCAGAACAACTCTCAGAGCTCCTGTTTCAGGTTCTCTTCAAGCTCAAGCAGATAGTGTGAGCAATGGTAACACTCAGACCTAGAGCCAGGTTTTGCTTCACACCCAGGAGAGCTGGAAATGCACTTTCTCACTCTGACAGCATCTCATCTCTGCGGAAGCTGGTGCCTAGAGATGTTGCAGGATTTATTATGTCTTAGACCAACTCAGCACGAGTGAGTCCAAAAGCAAAATTGCTGAGGCATTTGCCTGGGCCACGTGAGTTGGTATAGCTGTTGCCTCCTTCGAGTTGTCTGGCCAAACACCTCAGCAGCTCTAGAGCTTGAGCAAAGACTCCAAAGCCCAGGGCACAGGCAGATGTCAGCAAACTTGGGGCACAATCCTGTGAGCTGTGAGATGAGGTACAGCCCAGCAGGAATTTTTCTTTATCAATTAATCTACCTTAGGGTAGGAAATTTTTCTTTATCAATTAATCTACCTTAGGGAGAACTAAGGCACATTCTAATTGAGGGCAGAATGCTGACATGAATCTTTAGGAGCTGAAGTTCCACCAGAAGAGGACCTCATACACACCAGCGTGTGGGAAGGCTCATGGTGTGCAATGCGTGGACACTTGTCTTTGTCTCGGGAGTTTCTAGGAGGCCTGCTGTGGCTCACCACAACCTCTGCCTTACCACAAACTGTTGTCATTGTCAGGTCAGCAAGGATAGGAAAGCTGCTGGACACGCTAGGCAGCTTGGTTTGCCTGAAAAACCACTTGAGTTTTTAAAGGATCGGTGCCCTTATCTACAATGGGAAAAAATCACTGGGTCCTCTGGCATCCAAGTCGATCTAGTTCTTGAAGTATAACCCATTCCAAATGAGACAGTATTTGCTCCACACATGGTAACTCCCACCACCATCTTCTGAGTCCTGTTATGTTAGGGGCTGGCAGGCAGGGAATTACACTGGGCACTGGCAGGACAGAACACACCAAACAGAAAAGCAGATGCCAACAAAGATGAATCAATTACAAAACAGAAGGAAGCATAAAAGGACAGGAGCAAAAGGCACTATTGGTTGTGTCGTATGACAGGTGTTTGATCAAAAATCGTCTTCAACACAGCCTGAAGTGACACTGACCCACAGACTGTGAGACACAAGGTCATGGCTCTCCTGCAAGAGTCAATACAGGGATTTCAGGAACCAAGGCTTACAAGGGCTAGGACCAAAACTGATTCCATTACTTCACAGCAGAATCCTTGTACTAGCAAGAGAAGCCTTTGGAAAAGCAGCAGAGAAATAAAACAATTCCCATCCCTGAGACCCCACTGTAGAGCACAGGAATGATTCCCTCTCCCTGGACCTTTTTCAGATCACACTTTTTCAGATCATCACTGCAGATCACAGTGCAAGAGGAAGGGATTTTCTATAGACAAATAACTGACTAATTCAGGGCATTTGACTGCAGTATATCAGCTGCAGGAAGCACTAAAAATGAGGGACAGCCAAGGGGGCAAGAGCAAGACACACTCTTGCTCTGACCAGAGAGTCAAGCTACACAGGCTGGGAAGAAGCACTCCAATGACTGCTCACATTAACAGGCTTGAAATTATCTGTACGCATTCATGGGAGTGTTGCAAAAGCTGCTGCAGACAGCTCAGGGGAGAGCCCTGCTCTGTGAATGGCAGAGGCCAAAACCTGCTAAGCAAAGTAACTGACTCCTGGGCTGATGAAGGGGTGATGACAGCAGTGGAAACACAAAGGCAGCAGCACCATTACAGAATGCAGCTGCCTGCCAGCACGCTGAGAGCAGAAGAATGGCTTGATTCTCTTGCAACAAAGACAACATACTAAAAACAAACCACCATCAACACCAACAAAAAAAAAGTCCAAGTGTGCAAGGAATGGGGAGATCATGGGAGGTGTAAAAGATGATGCTAGGAGTGGTGTAAAAGATTATGGATCACTTTCAGCACTGGAGTAACTCACCACTGCTGGCATCCAGGGTGTGGTTAGCCCAAGAATCATTTAACAGAGGAAAGTAAGGTGAAATCATCATGAAATATTATCCCACTCAAAACATATCCAGCCCAGGGGGCAGCCCAGAAATGTAAGCTGCAGTTGTACTAGTTGTCTTCAGAAAGCTGCCTAATCTTGTGGTTATTTACATTTGCAGCTCTGCCTGCTCAGATAATAAGAACAGTCAGGGTACCTGATTGCTGGAGGAACTGGGGAGGAATTTTAATCCCAGACCCTCTGTTCCTACATTGCACAGTTGGCGAGGTGCATCAGTGCAGGCTGCTCAGCTCTCCCGACATTGTCAGAGCCATGATATTGGATTAGATACACAGTGATCTGATGCATGATGACAAATCGCATGTTGCACAATTCACCCAAAGTATGTGGGTATCTGGTATAAATATACACCTTGTCATCTGTTACAGTGCTTAGGAAACTTGACTGTTTTTCTGCTCAACCTAGCATTGAAGACTGTAGCTGGCAGCCTTCTGCCATTCCACCCTCTCTCAGGCTTCTCATGTGGACCAGGGTAGCCAGGGACCAGAAGGGTCAATCCTTAGGGTGAGGGGCCTCCAGCCAGCATATACCTAGGGACAACTACAGGAGGCATGCCACTCAGAAGAGATTTATGAGAAGTCGGGATGCTTCATCTGATCTCAGGCTAATCCCAGTGTCAGGGTCTGGGGAACAGGGCCGGATCTATCTGCAGTGAGATCTAGAGGAAGAGACAGTGCTATGGAGCTCTGCCCTGTGAGTATGGTCACTCTCATTCAGATGACCCAGAGAGCATAATGCAGTCAGAGGTCCTAAATGAAGAGGTGTTGGGGGTGCTCCTGCCTCCCTCCACCTTCCAGATAAATCTGCAGGTAGGCAGAAGCCTGGATTTCAGCATTCACAGATGGATGTGACTTTTTTTCCTGAATTTTGTGGATCATCATGGACTATTTTTTCCTCTGGAAGCAACTCCCAGAATAAAAGGTTCATTTCATTCACGTGCTCACTGTAGAGCTTTTTGGGCCTTGCCCTGTTGATAACATGGAGCTGAGGAGGCTGAGCTATAATTCAGTGCATAAAAGCACTTCCTAGGGCTTTGGGAGGGTAGGAGGATGTGTGGCTCTGAGACAGATGAGTATCAACTGAATAAGGCGTTATCTTGTTTTCAGAGCCCAGAAACTGTACATGTACACACCAGGGCAGCTTAGCCAAGCAAGGAAAAGGTGGTGTTGTAGGCATGGCCGGTGAGAGGGGGGTCAGCATGGAGAGCCAGGGGTGGGGGCTGGGAAAGAGGCTTACACATGTTCCTCACACTGCAGCCATGACAGGTCTCCCTCATGCTCCTGGACAGTGCAGGGCTCCCTGGGAGCTGCTGACAGCCTGTGAGTTCTACCAATGTCCCTAAAAACTGAGTCTGCTCAGCATTTGGGGGGCACATTTAGCAGCTCCCAGGATTGGGTCCAAAGATCTCACCATTTTTGTTTACAGACTCAGGGAGGTAAAAGATAGCCTCAGCACAGCTTGAATGTATTTTTTAGGGGGTTCTGTTTCTAAACAGCATTCTGAAACAGGTGATGCTTCACATGCATCACACAGAAGATGATCAACCATGAAGCATAACAAGCAGCTTTGTGGCAAAAAGCCCCTGCACTTTGCATCCCAGCTCTGGAAAGAGCTTGCTGACTCTGCAAGAGAGTCAGCATGTGGGGAGGAGGAGGCAGAGGTACGAGGCAGGAGCGAAGTACTCAGGACCACCCCAGAAGCAAGGAGCATGGCCACTA